TTTATTAGCTGTAACACCAGTCGTAGATCACAAAATATAGAGGAAAGGAAGAGAAAGAAGTCTTATGCTAGGCTAGACTAACAGCTAGCCAAATTAACGCTCGTTTTATCGTGTTTCAGGTTTTAAAAATAAATATTAAGGATGCTAGATTAGCTATTAGCTAATAATGAGCCTTTACTACACTTTTGCTTGACACCTTTTATTTAGTTGGTTGCGGTTTTCTCAAACGAACAACGTCCGTGTAAAGGTTTAATATTAGCAAATGTAGCACTTTTTGACATCAGTATGCCGTTTTGGAGAAATATTTGTGTTATAAGCAAACAAGCCTTTGCTTGCTAGCCATTAGCCTAGCTTTGTTGAAAACCTCCGCTTTTTTCTCCACACTTTGTGCTAAATCACCGATATCACTAACCAAAGATAACTATTTGATAAAACATTCCTTTTAAAATGAACAGATCGTCTCTTTAAGTACCATAATTTTCAGAATATAAGCTGCTACTTTTTTCACACGCTTTGAACATTGTGGCTTATAGAATGCTGCGGCTAAGTTTTTTTTTTTTTTGACGGGCTAACGAGCTTCAAGCCACCAAAACATTTAGCCTCGTCACACCCGGGTGCTCACATAGCTGGGGGGTGGGTCCTCGTGACTCAATGAGACTACCCGTATAAATAAAGGTAAAAAATAATAATAATCTGGCCAATGAAATGATCAAACAGGTCACAGTGGACCATAAAACTTGGTTTCATCCCCCCCCCCCCCCCCCCCCCGTTGTGGGGTGGGGGGGTGGGGGGGGAGAAACATGATGAAGAGGACAACACAAGCCCATGGGCGCTGTGTGCAGCGTATATATGTCTGTGGTGTGCAGGAGGAAAGTGCAGAAAGTGATCAATGACTTCCTGGTAGGCTACTGCATTTTTTATTTTTTTTTACCAGCCGTGTTACCGGCACTGTTCAGACAAAAAAAAAACATTTACTGTACGTATTTGTGTATGTTACTGGTAGAGTTGCATTTGGGCCTAAAAAATCCAACCTGGCCTGAACCAGTTAAATTTTTTTGAGCCCGACCCAAAACCAACTAATTAACTGTGATTACAGGCCCGAAAAAAAAAAAACCCAGATTTTTTTTTCAAATTAAGGTTTTACTGCTTTGGTAAACAAATCAGTTTGACATGATTTAAAAACGTATTTCAAAGATAGGAAGATATAACATTTCTTATTTATTAACAAGACTCAGCGGATTATTAAAGTTATTATAATATTATAATTATTACAGTTATTAATGGTCGTCGGCCGCACGCGGCCGATGATCCAAATTGGGTCGTTGGTTGCGCGCGGCTGAGTCCAGTTAAGCTTCAGGTGGGTCGCTGGTAGTGGTTTATCTGAACTTTTATTAACCTCTTTCAACTGGTCGGTTAGCGGTCAAATTGGATTGTCAGCCGCATGCGTCTGCTGACGCAATCAAACCTTATAATCTAGCTGTTTTTTTTCTCGCTACTTTTCCTTTCGACTGTCCTTTTGGTTGCCATTTTGTTTTGATTTGTTAAACAAAAAAAAGACATTTAAATTTTGTATGCCTCTTTTTTGACTGTCAGTTGTTGTTTTTATTACTTGTTGTTGTCATCAGTCTTTGTTAAGAAATCAGGTCGGGTCGGGCCAGGCACGGGCCCGGAGAAACGACAACTCTAGATACCTAGTACTTCATACCTAGTATTTCATTAAAAGTTTTAAAAAAATTCTGTGTAAATATCTCATGGTACAAAGTGGACACCCACAGCTTATAAACAAGTTTGGCCTATATATGCACAATTTATATTTCTTTTTAAATTTAGTGGGCGTGGCTTATGTTCAGGTGCGCTCTATAGTATGGAAATTACAGTAATTCCCCTCACAGTTATATCTGTACGTCAGTCAGTACAGTAAAGTAAATCTTGCTTAAACTTATAAAATGTAGAAAAATCCAAACACCTCAGCTCTTTGTTTTCCACCTCTGACAGGCTTTGCATCGTTTGTGTCAGTTTATAATATTTGTGTTTTATTGTTTTCAGGTTTTTAATCAAGTTTTGATTTTGTGGTGCTGGTTTTAACTGTATTTCTTTGCCACGCTGATCATTTATCAGCACAGAAGTTTTTTGGGAAAAGATGTTTACATACTGGAGTATATATATATATTTTTCCCCAATCATAATTCGGGGGCCTGTAATACGACCCAGGATCGAAGTCTTAACTAGAAAAGTTCAGGTTCAGATTTAGATTTTCAGTGGTTCATTTCTTACTGGGGTGGATCAACACAGCAGCTTCAACTGGAAACCTGAGCTGCTCCAAGCAGGCTCTGGAAATTGTTAGCAGTTTAAACAGCACCGTCTCCTGACCGATCAATAATATTGGAAAATGAAAAACAATAACCCTGCTGCACGAACAGTGAGATTATTTTCTTTTGTTTATCTCAGAATGAAAAATTTCATTTGTTTTACTAAAAAAGAAAGTGGAAATCTTATGGAACTTAATTTGGGATTTGTTTCAGCCCTACTTCCTGTTTTGAAGTTTCTAATTTAATTTCTAAAGTCTGTGTTTTTGTTCTGCTTCTCATCTCACCTGGTCAAAATGACTAATCAGCACACCTGCTCGTCATTTATTGATTATGTCCCTCCCTCTGCAGGCATTTTCTGACTCGTCTATTGTCAGATTGTCTTGTAGATCTTTCCATGCCTTTTTTAGGAGTCCCGCTTTACGTCGTTAAAGTTCGTTTGGATCCAGACCTCGCTTTTGGAGAGTCGAGTGACGCACACTGAATTAATAATTTAGCATCCAAATGAAAGATCTTGGAGATATGCGGCAAAAAAAATTGGCACGTTTTTAAAAAAGATGATTGACGTTTTACCTTGTTGTATTTAAAGGTAGCATTCGTTAAAGGACTGTAGTGCACCGCCATAGTTTTAGACGCGGATGATATGACGTTGAAAAACAAAAAAGTTGTAGCCAATTTGGTAAAATCGTGAATACGGTCTCATGCAATAACACAAGATGTCATGCTCAAAATATGCGTTATATACGACTCTCAGCTACGACCATATCAAGTTTTAGCTCAATATCTGTTAAACTGACCAAGTTAAAGTTCATTTTGAGTTTTAAAACATCCTTTAGCTGTGGTAGCCATCTTGAAGCAGGTTAACTCTAAAGGTTAATCAGTTGTACATGTACATCCAGTGATTAATTCCTGAAAATGTCATGAAAATCCATCCAATGGTTCACAACATATTTTGCTAACAGACAGATTTAGTCAACCTGTCGGTTGAAACAGCACTCAGAACAAAACATTACATTAAAAGCTGCCACGTTCACTTTAATACTTGGGCTTGCAGCTATAAATGATTAAAAACAAGGATGTGAAAGGCTTATTATTGACGATAAGCATTTTTTATTGGGGGTTAAACTTAATAAATGCATACAGATGACATGACAGCTGTTAAAATCCACACTTACTGTTTTCTATAGTTGGGTCATACGAGTCCACAAACTGGCCCTCCACAAACTGAATGGTCAAGGAAGACTTTCCTGCAAAAATTAAATATAAGAATTAGACACGGGAACATAGTCTGATTGAAAACAGGTCTGTAAGTTCAATCATCAGGTAGACGACAACAAAAACGGTTAAATCGTGTCATTTGGACCATCCAGAGGACTTCATCAGTCTGAGGCCTGCCAACCAGATCTGTCCCATAAGTAGCCTTCACAGGGCACACCTGTCCAAAACAACCAATCATGCACAACAATCAAATGTTTTAGGCCAGATGACCAACTTGCTACTCACAGAAACAGCCTGAGGACGACCAAGGCCAAAGTGGTTCAGAAAAAAAAAGGTTTGTACATGATGATTGGTTGTTTTGGACAGGTGTGACCAGTTTGCAAGTGTTGAAAACCTGCTTCTGAGATTCCAACAGGAGGACGCCTTGAAACAGCAGTGAAGGCTTCCTGTGGGCTGTGTTGCTAGATTGGGAGATTTACCGCAGATTGGGTGGGTATTTGTGTTTTTTAACAGACCTTTGGGCTGGAAAACCTCAACTCTATCGTTCAACAATGCCTATGGGACAGATCTGGTTGGCAGGCCGCAGAGTGATGAAGTCCTCTGGATGGGGGACGAAACGTTTCTCACTTAAAGAAACTGGTCCAGATGAGGATTTAACCCTTTTTCTTTTAATATAACCACACTGAGATGCTGTGAATTAATTAAAGTATAAAAAAAACAGCAAAAGGAGCCATCAGTTGTTCCCAGCCATGAAGATGGACTGCCACCTCCTCTGTGGGAGTAGGAGTGTGCCATCCTCTCCAAACTGCGCTTCTTCTTCCTGATGGAGCCATTAAAACGCGCAGTGATGCGTCACATCCAGCCAGGCCTCTCATGGCTCCTGGGTTAGGGTCACTGATGGAAGCACGCCCCCAACACCAGCAAGTGTCAAAAAATAACTCCGTCTGCCTTGTTCCATTTAAACGAGGCCCACCTAGCGCGACAAAATGGACATCCCTCACCTGGTGATTCGTCGCGTGACAGTTAGCAGAGGAACCGAGCTGGGACTACAGGCCGCTGGATGCTTCCATCAGCCTCCCCTGGTCGTTCCCACCCCCAACGCGTCGTGTCGTCGACTCACCTACGGATCTGTACCCGAGGATAGCGATTTTTCGTGACTTCGGCTGCGGCATGTTTCG